TCTACACCCTATTGCTTTCTACGCAACAGAGCCACAGTGATGGTTAACTCTAGCTGGATCTGTCTCACAATGCCAGAGCTATGATTTGTTTCTTCCACTTACAGCTGAACTCCTTAAAAGCATATGGAGCATCTTGGTGTGTCTTGGATTTGCAGGAAAGGAACTTTTCTCAGATAGCTGCTCTGCAGATGGCTGGCATATCTGGCTAAACAGGAGGCATGTTTTCTGAGAATGAAAAGGTTTGCAGGATGTTACTGTTGGCCTTGGGAGGTTGTTCACAAGGGAACTTGCCCCCTCAAGTAATAAGCAGTAGTTCCCTGGCCTTTACAGTTGAGGTTTTTAAAAGGGGGTTTACAGTCCTGTTTAGGTAAACAGCTCGCGGCTGCTTATTTTGTTACTGACTCATAACAGGCCACTATTGTTTTCTGCAGGTGTCTTCCCAGCAGGTAGGAAAGTGAAAGAACTGCATAGATGTGTGGTCCAGACCCCACCCCCTTTAGATAAGGAAGGTATCTTCTCTCTCTCTCTCCTCTCTCTCTCTCTGTGTGTGTGTGTGTGTGTGTGTGTGTGTGTTTCTGTGTTATGGTAGCTATTATTGTACATGTTGCTTCCAGGAACCTCTGCAGCAAAGTGTTTCCTGCTCTTTGACACTGCAGGAAACAAAGCAAATTCTTTCCATTCCAACGTAGGAAGCTTAGAAACATAGAAAGCTGGCTAGTAGCAGGTCAGGCTATTGGCCCATCTAGACCATGATCATCTGCTCTGGCTGACAGTCTCTCTCCAGGGTACATAGGAACATCGGAAGCTCCCATTGCCTCATTTAGGTCTGTTTTGTCTACAGTGACTGGCAACAGTTCTGCAGGGTTTCAGACAAGGGTCATGCCCAGTTCTACCTGGCAATGCTGTGAACGGAACTTGAGATCTTTCTCATGCAAAGCAGATGATCTGCCACTGAGCTACAGTTCATCCTACATCTCAAGCAAAATTATGTGGATGCATCTTTAAAAGAAGTCTTTCTCGCCATCAGCTACCAGATCCTGTTAACTGGAGGTGCCAGAGACTGAAACGGAGACCTTCTGCATGAAAAGCATGGGCTCAACCTCGATCTCTCCCCCATCTGCCTCCTCAAGTAATTAGGGAAGATACCTTCTGGTTGTTTATCTTGTGATTCATACTACAGTGACTGCTTTCATTTGGCTTAAAAAATATCTAGTAGCCAAATATTGTTTGGTGGGCAGTGGCCACATGGTTAGACCAGATTGGAAAGACCTGGTTTTAAATTTCTTCTCAGCCATTAAGTTCCCTGTGAGGGCACTGATAAAAACCACTCTCTATCAAAACTACCAGCCTCATGGGATTGCTGCAAAGACAAAATGGGATGTATGTGGCCCTGAATAAGAAACAAATGCAGTTGTATATTGGGGACTGGCTGGATGAGGAAGAGTGGTGGGAGCTACACGCCCAAGAGCCCCACGGGGAGGACACAGAAGACGATGACTTAGATCCCTGCTCATGGTGATGGGACACTGAAGAGCAGTATGCAGAAGGGATGAGTTGGGATGTGCTGGAAGCAGGTGGTTTGAGCAATCAAGTTGGGGGGGGGGGGTCAGGAGAAGGAAGGTCCTGCAGGACAGGATTAGATACTGAGAGTCTCAGTGTGAGGACAGGTTCATATAAAGGGGAGTTGGAGGTTTCCCATGAAGACTAAAATCTACCCGTCTTTGATTTAACCCTATGCTGAGCACAAATATTAATGGTGGAATATATATGGGCAACAGGGACACGGGTGGTGCTGTGGGTTAAACCACAGAGCCTAGGACTTGCTGATCAGAAGACCGGCGGTTCGAATCCCCATGACGGGGTGAGCTCCCATTGCTCAGTCCCAGCTCCTGCCAACCTAGCAGTTCAAAAGCACTCCAAAAAGTGCAAGTAGATAAATAGGTACCGCTCCGGCGGGAAGGTAAACGGCATTTCCGTGCACTGCTCTGGTTCGCCAGAAGTGGCTTAGTCATGCTGGCCACATGACCTGGAAGCTGTACGCCAGCTCCCTCAGCCAATAAAGCGAGAACCCCTGAGTTGGCCACGACTGGACCTAATGGTCAGGAGTCCCTTTACCTTTACCTTTATATATGGGCAATAGTTGGATGAATGTAGGGCTAGCAGGGGTCAGCAAACCTTTTCAGTAGGGGGCCAGTCCACTGTCCCTCAGACCTTGTGGAGGGCCGGACTATATTTTTTTGGGGGGGGGAAATGAACGAATTCCTATGCTCCGCAAATAACCCAGAGATGCATTTTAAATAAAAGCACACATTCTACTCATGTAAAAACACACTGATTCCTGGACTGTCCGCGGGCCGGATTGAGAAGGCGATTGGGCCGGATCTGGGCCCTGGGCCTTAGTTTGCCTACCCATGGGCTAGGGGCTAGGTGCACATCCTGTAAGATTTCACTCACCCACCTGAATATTGAAAGGTGGTGCAAGATCTGCAGTACACACCTCCCATAGATGTTCATTTATTGATTTATAATCAGTGCCTTCATTAAGCATGCCTCAGTCTATGGGGTAAAAGTACGGTGCGCCAGTCTCTGATCTGCAGGTGTTGGATAGAGGAAGTGGGAGGGACATTGCTGCACAATGAGGAGCTGGTCTCAATGCCATACAGACTGCAAACTTGGGATTCCATCAGGGTGAGAAATTGGAGAAGCAGTATTATAGTGATGCCCCTCCCCACGTGGTTCGGATGCCTGGCTTGTATCCACCAGGAGTCATGTGTTCAGTATTGCAAGTCCTATCTTACCAAACTCCCAGCTGAACTTCCAGTGCTTACCAAAGACTTTATTATTTCGGCAGACTTTTCAATTGAATTCTGATTTTGTTCTTTAACACATTTTTAGTTTCATTGTGTCCCTTCTCTTTTACATCACTTGGAAATGCCTGTGATTATACAAATCACTGAAATAAAATAAGGGAACGAAAAGCGAGAAGTTGCTTTTGTTAAATATCTGTATGCATCCTAACGCTACAAAGAATGAGGCTATTAGGGTTGCAAAATAAATGACGCAGGAATGGTACAGCTAGGAAATGTTAGACTCTGACTTAATCTGTGGCTGTTTAGGTACCAATATATATTACTTCAAAGTATGTGAGCCCCAGCACCACTGTAACAGAGGACCTTAAGCTCATTGCTTGAATCACAAGACATACATAGCTTGCTTACCAGAGTACCATGATCACTGAATATAAGCAACGAGCGCTTTCCGACAGGGCCAATTCCAATTAAAAAGCAAATTAAACAACCATATTTCAAGAAGCAACGTATAAACTGAATAATTCCAAGGACTAATCAATTATTGCCCAGTGCCTGCGAGTAAATGGCAAGCAGCATTCTGAAGTGCACATTCTATTTGTGCTTTGAATTCTTTAGCTAAGTTAATTCATGTTCGCTTAAGAGACAGCCTATGAATTTCTGAATGATCTCCTTGTCTGGCAAGTGTGAAATCGAAGGACAGGGTCTCATCTCCCCCCTCCCCCCCAATGTAAAAGCTTTTGATTTGAAAGCTTTTGATTTTTAATGTCGACAGAAATTTCTTTTAACAAAATAAATAAATTTCTGTATTGGGGGTGGGGGAGGGAGAAGACAGAGATGAAGGCAGGGAAGAGAAGGCAGAAAGAGAATGATAATTGTTTTCTCTAAGGCTATTATTTAATGTGAAAGCAAATAGTCAGCCCGAGAAAACCAGCTAACAGAAGGGGATTAAGGAGAGTCGATCTCGGAGTGGCTTGATTCCTAGCAGTGCTGCTGTCTCTCTTCAGACAGTGACGAGGTGCAGGCGGAGAAGGCGGCGGCAGCAGCAGCAGCAGCAGCAGTTCTCCAGATGGCTAGGGAAAGTGTCTTGGGTTACTGCAGGGCAGTCTGGACTCGGAGAGCAGGCGGCCTTGGGAACGGGCTTCATTAGGGACCAAGTTGCATGCCCACTAAGTAAGAGAGAGAGAGAGAGAGAGAGAGAGAGAGAGAGAGAGAGAGAGAGAGAGAGAGAAATGAAAGGAAAAGCAGGCAGGCTGCCCAAGAGGGACTGGGCTTGACTATTGTTAACATATACTTGACCCCCCTCCTCTCCGCTCATGACACAGATGTCTCCTACCTCTATCACCTCCCACTGCTTTAAGCCCTCCCCCCTGCACCTGGGTAGCTGAGCCAGGCCAGCTGCTTGCAGTATGCTGTTTGACTTTAGAGGTGGCTGCTAGCAGAGGGGGGTGGGAGGAAAGAGAGAGTCAGACGCGCACACACACACATATACATACGGAGACGCGCGCACACACATCCACACGCGCGCGCGAGGGGAGAACAAACAAACAAACGGCGGAGCCTTTCCTGCAGGGCGGATCTGTGCACAGACATTACATGGAGCTGCTTCCCCGAGCGGGCGGGCGCATGGGAAGCCTGCAAATCTATGCATCGCCGCCTTAGAGAGAGAGAGAGAGAGAGAGAGAGAGAGAGAGAGAGAGAGAGAGAGAGAGAGAAGAGGCGGCGGCGGCGGCGGCGGCAGGAGGAGGCAGGCGCACCGCCACTGACAGCGCGTAAGATCCACCGCTTGGACTCTCAGCTCACATTTTTCGTCTGCAACAATAACAGCGACCACGGGCGGCCGCCGAGGAGGAGGAACTGAGCATTCCGCATCGGGCTACTTGGAGGACTTTTATTTTCCATTCTTCTTGCTACGCTGATTCTTATATGCGCTTTCTTGAGCCTTTGGCACCCCCGAGAAGCTCTCCCTCGCGCGGATCCTCCTTTCCTCCCCCCACCCTTTTTTATTAAAAAGAAAGAGAGAGAAACCACACGCGTAAGAACAGCTGGAGTTTGGCTTCGTCTTTCCTCGTTTCCTTCGCGCCGTTTGGACCTTTTCGTGTGTGAACGTGGATGATCCGGAGCGGGGGGGAAAGAGAAGGAAGCGAAGCCACATTGCGTCGCCCCTTTTTCCTCTCCCGGGTCCCCGCCGGCCGGCCAGCCTGGGCTGTCCGAGCTCCGCCAAGGAGGACTGGAACTTTTTATTTTCAGCTCTCTGCCTGGGGCGAATGGTGGGAGTCTCCGGTCCTTTGCAATGTAAGTAACACCCACCCACCCACCTACCTTACACCCCGACCGGCCAGCCGGCAGCAAGGCATGCGGAGGGACTAGGAATTGGCGCGCCACTAGATCCCGGAGCCGGATTGCGGGATGGGTTGGGTGGCGCGCAGCCTCGGCCCCCGGATTTCATCCCCCCTTTCTGCCCTTTCCTTAGGCGGGATCCTGTGGTTGTTAACTAACCTGCTAACACGGCTTGGAGTTGCTGTTGCCGCGGTAGCAAACCGCGCAAAGGATAGGATTGCATGTGAAACCAAACCAAAACACCCCACGACTCTCAGCAATCGATTTTTGCCCCTTTCCGAAAGTGACCAAAGAGCAAAAAGTTTTATGGGGGAAAATAAGCTCCGTCTGCAGCATCGGTTCGAATTCGAGTATAAGTCTCCCTGAGCTCAAGTGCTTAAATTTGAAATGGGCTCAGTTCAGTAACCTATGTTCCCCACCCAAAACGAGTGCGACCACCACAGTGCCTCTGAGCGCGTGCAGAGTGCTGTTGTTTACTGCCGAGTAACCGCAACGACGTATCTGGGATGGGGATGCGACAGGGCTTTTGATTCAGAAAACAGGTTTTCCAGGCTGGCATGAGATCTCCTTTTGCGAATTAACCCATAGTTTCATCTCTGTTTCTTTTCTTTTTGTCCCTCTATTTCAAGATGATCCTTGCTCGATATGAGCTCATGTGATCAAGAGCGCTTGAAATGTAATGTTTTCAACCTAGACAGTATGGATCGAAACTGTAAATCACGGAAAGCGCTGTAGACATATTTTTCTCGCAGATATATTTCAGGTAAAGGATATCCCATTTAATTTCTGTATAATCAAGTGCAGAATGAAACATGAACAAATCTTTGATCTCTGTATTGTCACTTTACTGTTACATATAACAATGATTAACAATAATTCGAGATCAGGAACTTCCAGATTTGTTTATTAATGTATGTCACTGGACATTTCAAAGATCTGATCTAGACTGTATTGAAGAGAACTTTAGCGTTTTGGTAAGTTTTGTAACTTGTAGCAATCTCCTAAATACATTTACTTAGAAGTAAGACTCATTGAGTTCAATGGAGCTTTCTCCCAGGTAAGTAAGTATGTTTAGGATAGAATTTCAGCCTTAGCCCAAGGAGTGTCTCTTGGAATCAACACAATGAACAGGTCACAAAAAATAGGAAGCTTAGTTGACCATTTACTTTTTTCACTGGCTTGAAGTTTCATTGATTTTAATGTAATTTCAGTTCTATGAGTGGTGCGTCACTGAATCTCCTGTAGTACCAAATTGTTTTGGAACGTCAAACTTCCTACTGTATTATTTAGAAATGGAAGTGGAATTTCTATTATGGACCATATGGACTCATTGAGGTTACCGAGCTACTAAATGCATACAATTTATGCTATGTAAGAGAAAAGCAGTCATTGCTACTACATTTTGAAATAGTGGAGGTTTTGTGTAATTTTTATGTCTGTCTGGAAGTAAGTCCTGCTGTGTCCAAGAGGGGCTTATGCCTAGGTAAAAGGTCTATCAGATTGCATCCTTACAGCACAATCCTGTGCATGTCTACTCAGGGAATTAGCTCAGCTGAGTTCAATGAGACTTGTTCCCAGGTGTTTATATTTAGGATATTGCAGGCTAAGTCTCCCTGCGATTGAGGGCAAAGGCTCTAGGTAGTTTACAGTTCACATGCAGAAGGGCTCATGTTCAATTCCTTGCCTCTCCAGGTAGATTCTCTGTCTAAATACAGGAGAGCTGCTAGCAGTCAGTGTCAAGAATATTGAACTAGGTATACCAGTAGCCTGACTCTGTATATGGCTGCTTCCTATAGTATATCTTGCAATGGGAGATTTCCTAGCAAATGTTATAATGTGGCCCACTTCCTTGATGGATTACTTCTGAGTCTTGGAATGCACTGCTTAGCTTTTGCTTCAGCAGAAATTCATGTACTTAATGTAACTATGACCCCTTTAACTTTTAACATTGCTTTCCCTAATTAATCTGTTCAGGCCCCAGACTTAAATGGCTGTCCACAGCTGCTGAAAATTGATTTTTCCCTTGATGGTGGTCTGAGTTGCTGACCAAATCAGATTTTTCCCCTCCATCAGTTGTAGACCAACTTTAAATCTGTTTTGGATATTCTGTATTAATATAATAATAAAAACCCAGACACACAAATACCCCTGACAAACAAAAATCTATGTGATCTGAAATCTGATCTCCATGATGTTTGTGTTGTTATGGTGATAGTCTTAAAGTGCTCTTAAAAGTAAAATAGAAAACTTAAATTGGCATTTTTATTTCAGTGTCTTTATGGATTTAAGAATTTACCAAGAGACTTACCTTATGCTGACCTGATATATTATCAGTTTTTATTTTAATTTCTGGCTGGTTACACAGAGGATATGGCACAGATGCAGATCTAACAATATTAGTCTCTAATGGTTGTGGCATAGTTCCCTTTTCGATTCTTTTTCAATTCCTTTGAGATTATTTCCTAAGGAAAGTGAACCAGCATGATTTTCAACAGCTGTGGAAACTCTTAGGAAATTTAGACTGCCTTCCCTACACAATCCGAGTGCTGGATTCTAAAAATCTGAAAATTGTTTACTTAACAGTGTCCCTTAGAAAAATATCCAGCACAAAGTTTCTTGCATTCTAACAAACGACTTGCAAGCTGTTGTGTTAGCCAGCCATCTTTCTTAATTATTACTGCAAAACTTTTCTGGTCAGTGTATCAAATTTCATTGTGTATTTTTACTACCGTAGCACATGTTGAATTGGATTGGTGGATTCTCCCTCTTCCACCCCCCAACTTCCCCTCACCCCCCTTGGCATAAAAACTGTAGAGCACTGTAAATTAAAACCAAAAAAAAGTGCAAGTATAGATATCCCATGCCAATGACTTAATACAAAATCCGGCCATCTTTCATGCTGTGTTTATGAGAAATAAGACTTTTGTCTTCAAAACTCTTGTGAACGAGCTCACAGTCCCTTTTGCAGTGGAATGCAGACTGCATTCTGGCAACTGCTTCTGCTTGCTATGTTTTGCTCCAGGAGTGTCCATCTTTTCCCTAAAATGCTTTTGTTTTAAAAGATTTATTTTTATACGCACTCCCTTGGTTAACCCAAACTGATGGGAACACTCCATCAAAGCATTGTGAGCATACACCATTGTCTGTGTGGCACTATGTCTTCTTAATACTTGAACTGCATGTACGCCTCTGCCAACATCATGCCTTGTGATTCTGTATAGAGAAGAAGGAGGAGGAGGTTCCTCCACCTGAAGCCCTGGTCAGTGGCCAGCAAGCCCCCAGGCATTCTTCCCTGTCAACTCCTGTTTCTCACCCTTCTGAAATGGAGCTCAGCTGACAAGCATTGAATGCAAAGCCTGCTGCACTAAGGCTGCATGGCGCTTTGCTAGCAAGGCGCTGTGAACAAAAATTGGCATCTGTGTAGTATTTGCATTGTGGACAGGAGGGGGAAGGGCTGCTACCATGGACGTTTTCATTGTTCAACTTTGTTTGCCGCAAGCTCGTTACTGTTAAAATATTTAGCTAATTGAAAAGCGACACAATTGTGTGTCAGTATCGTGCTCCCATTTTCGGGGGGAAATAAACACTTCCAACACTGCCACCTCCTTTGTCCTGTGCGAACTTAAGTTGACACTTGGCAATCAAAAAGCCTTATCAGCAGAAATAAAACAGGGACTTGCTGCGGGATGGGAACGTTTGTATCTGGTGGATTGGTTAAATCTGGATGAGGTTGTTTTTTTAAAAAAAAATGGTGCTTTTTCACTGAGTCTTGTCGATAGTTATAGGGCCCTTAGAAGTACACAGAAATCTAAGTATCGGTATTAAAATGTAAATGACCCCGTTTCTCACAAAAGAATGGCCTCCAGTGCAAATTTTCTTAACTCTCCACATTCCTTTTAACATGATCAGTGCTGCAGAGTCCAGGAAGACAAACGCGTGCAGATAGCAATGCAAAATTACTTCTTAACAGGAGCAAATTCACTGGGTGCACTGGGCATTGCAAATGGCAATGGTCATATTCCAATTCAAGTCTGCTTTTGTTTTAAGTTGAATATTTTTCTAAAAGCAAATATTTTGAAGCAGAATGGCACTGAAAGGAAGCGCTTAGACAAATAAAAAGGAACACAGCTTTTAAAAGCGGTCTAAATTTAGAATGCACGATTAGCTTAATCTGAAAGACATTGACTTCCATCTTCATTAATATCTTTTCCACCACTGATAAGAAAGTTCTCAAATGATGTTTAAAGAGCAGTGGGTGTTTTATTAAAGTAAGCATGGGTTCACTATAATGGAGGTAATTGTGAGTGATAAGAACAGGGCAGGTTATCTGTATGTTGTTTAAACAGAAGCAGCTACTTTTGCATCATTCCCAGGAGCCATCTGCGCAGGGTGGGGGGTGTCACCTGTCTGTCCACCCTAATTATAGGGGGGTGGGAGGAGAAATAAAAATGGAGAGGTCTTTCTGGTAATGAAACCCATAGTGATTTTATTGTAAATGAGTCTTGTGTACAGAGGAAGATGCTAATTTTGAAAGGAAAACAAACTGCTATATTGGCTGCCATGCCCTGGCAGTTGTGAAACAGAATGGGAAGAAAGGGGAATGGGATGCTGAATTCGCACTGTAGTTTGAGTTGTGAGTGCTCAGTGGTAAAAAGTGGTCATTTGGGGTTCGTGTTTTTTGTGCTCTTTTTGAGAACCTCTTATTCTAATTTTGAAAAAAAAGTATTTGCTTCAGTATACTGGGATACAGCTGGTATTTCTAGATTGGAGATAGTTATTTCATATAGCTATTTCTTTACATTTCCCATCTGACCTAGTAGTTTTGTTGCATATGTGTGCTAACCTTAAAGGAATTAAGAATGTATTTTGCAAATAAAAGGTCACATGCATTTCTCCCACATCTGTTTATAGTAATTATGAACATAATTAGCATAAGAATTACAAGCGAAGTAATGACGAGCTGAGCTGAGCAGTGAGGTATTATAGTATAATGGTCATATGTTGGCATTCTCACATTATAACACACTAGAATTCACATATTCAATGCAAGAAAGGAAATGCTAGGTTTTGAAGCATTAAAACAGCTAAAAAAATCTCTCTGCCTGAGGCAGATGGACTTCCTTGCTTTATAAGGAGGTAACCCGTTATTAAGAGAGAATCAGCTGAAATTAAGATTTGTAGCCTCAAGCTTGGACTTTCAGACAGCTGTGATTATGAATGGTTCGTCTGTTACACATTTTTACTCTGACCACCGTGTATATTGCTTTCTTTAAAGCCAAAAGGGGGGAGGGAGAGGTGGGCAGAACAAACATTTTCACAACAAATGATTTGTTCTAAAAACATGGCAGTTTTCTGTGAGATCTACCAGATAGGAAAGATTTAGATACTATAGTTCCTGTAATGTCTAAAATATATCTTAAATCTGGAGAATAAGTGCTAATATTTTGAGAAGACTCTCCTCCCCTCACCACCATAGGAAAATGTTCTGGAGACCTAGGGCCCAATCCATGGTAATTTTGCTTTACATCATGGCTGCACAGCTATGTCCTGTGGTGCATAGTTTGCATAGAATAGGCATAAGAGAAGTTTCTGGAAGATTCTGATTATTTAACTAACAACCCATCCTGTGCATTTTTACTTGAAGTAAGTCCACTGTGTTCAATAGGACTTACACTGCAGCCGAAGACCATCTGTGGATTCCACAGAAAGCATCCCTGATTCGCACAGATTTGCTGCTGGAGCAAATGCACCCAGCTGAAGCAA